TTAAGAATATCATATACCATTTATTTTGAATTAATATTCATTCCCGAAAACGCTCGCGAGACAAAAAAAATGTACGAATTTGCACATATCATCACATAATATGCACAAGATCTGCACTTGATTTGAACGTGCACTTGATTTCCAATTTTTTTTTTATTGGGACCGGAATTATAATTTTAATTCCCATAAATTCTGAAATAATTTTCCAATATTTCTGAATTATTCCCAAAATCTCTAATTATAATCTTAGCATTATTATGTATTCCTATTGTTTCGTACAGTTTCTATATAATTTTCCAAGAAGCACGGGTTAAATATTTAGATCCCGAGAGTTTCGGAATTAGAATCGAAATGGAAGTACGAAAAAAAAGAACACTTCCAAAACAAAAAAGGAAATTTTGTCAGTTTTTTTTTTACAAATTGGACATATAACTTATGGTTCACAAAAGCCATAAAATTAAATCCAATTTGGTACGACTTAGTCTGTTTATGCCGAAATAGACATACATGTATCTATGTGAGCCAATATAATTAAAAAAGTATATCGTTAAAGTTATATAAAAACATTACCTCGCACACAACAAAAGTGTGCATTTTAATCCATACAACAAAATATTTATTTTGATCATTTTTAACCAATAATAAATAAATAAATACAAAGTTAAAAGTTAGTTACAAATTTTTGTAGGTATACATTTAGCAAAATCTGCGACGTGAAGTCGACGGTAGGGTACACGGTGATTCCATACACCGTCGCCCTATTTGCATCGGCCATCTGGCTGTATTACGGTGCCATTAGATCATACGCAATCACGTTAGTTATCATTAACAGCACTGGCTGCATTATCGAGATGGCGTACGTCGTCATATTTTTCTACTACTGGGCAGTATGATCGAGTAGGTTTCGAAATTCTTCATAATACTTACAAAAATTTTAAAAATAATATTTCTTTAAGACATCACTAATAGTTAAAAAAATAATTTTGTAGATTTTTACTATCACTGTCTCGGGTATTCTATTTGGAATATTTTGCACTATCGCCTTTGTCACGTATTTTACGAGAAAGGTGACTTGAGGATTATGGTCGTTGGGTGGATATGCTTTGGATCATCCATCTAAGTTTATTCATCGACTATAGGCACCGTGTTAAAATTAATATTAAATAGAGTGAGTAACTTTAAATTTAATTTAATTTAATTTATATAATTTTTTTATATACCATTTTTTTTATATAATAGGTTAGAGCTGTTAGGACACGTAGTGTGCAGGGTATACCCCTAACAGCTAATGCTGTCATTTGGGACATCTATGGCTTTGCCAAAGGAGATCCCAATATCAAGGTATGTAAATCCTAATCAACATTACATCTAATTAAAAATTAGAAAATATTTTTTTCTAATAAAACTTTTTTTTTTCATTAATAAAGATTCCGAACATTATCCGACTAGTTTTAGGTATAGGCCAGATTGTAGTGCACGTAATCATCCGTACACCACAGACTAGCGAGATTACTGGAGAGTCTTAGACTGCGGAGACTAATTGACATGTTACAATATTTTTATTTATTATTGTTTTAGTATTTATTTATTTATTTATTATTATTATTATTATTAATATTTGTTTTTAAATTGTAGTATGGATACATGACGTAGATTGTATTCGCTAACACTTGTTAGTAGGAAAAGAAAGAAGAAGAAGAAGAACAAACAGATAAAAGGCACAGTATAAGTCTAATTTGTGTGGATGGGGACATATTCTGAGTATTTGGACTTTATTATATTTGTCTAATATATAATGTATTATTTCTATTAACTGCGATTGAGTTCCTAATTGTTAGTAATTGTCATTTGAGTTCGAAAAGACTAAATAAATTAATCTTCATCTTATTTTCATTACCATAGATGTCAATTTAATGGGTTTAATTTATTTATCGAAACATAAAAATATTATTTGCTAGATAAGAAAATGAATGAATATATAGACCATAACACATATCAAATGTTGACAGTCAAACAAAAGTGTTATTTTGGTGTATTTTGAGATTGAGCAATATAATATAATTTGGTCAAGGCAGCAGTTAAGAAATTAATTGATTGATTAGCCTCAAAATTTCTCCAAATTCAATTGAACGTTGAGATTAGAAAATAAGTAAAAAATAACATCCATTCTTATCCTCAGTCAGATATATATATATATATATATGGATAATTTGACAAAACTCCCTCATTACACAAGTCTCATTACAATAAGCCCAATTTTTTTTACATTTTTAAGATAAATCCAAAACAACTTTTATTAACTAATAACACTTAATTATCACCATTGTACCCCTAACTAAGAAATAATCTATATTTAAATTATAATTAAAAGGTATATAATATATTTTGCATATATTATATACGTATCTCTATCTCTCTGGCACACACCTAATTAAGAAATAATCTATATTTAAATTATAATTAAAAGATATATAATATATTTTTTTCATATATTATATACGTATCTCTATCTCTCTTGCACACACACACACACACACACTCAACACAACACAGGCACACACACACACACAACACAACACAACACAGGCACACACACAACAACCATTATATTTCACAAGTTTCTTCATTGTTGTGAGGTTGAAAAAAACCGAGATTCACATACACAATTGATAAAATAGAGAGATTCAAATACACAATTAATAAAATAGAGAGATTCAAATACACAATTCAAAAGCACAAGTTTCTCCATTGTTGTGTCGTCAAAAAACAGAGATTAAAATCCGTGGGGCGGGACCATGCGGGACTATTCAGGGAAACGCCATTAGTACATAAACCAATCTTATCACAAACGAATGGAATTCGACATGTATCTATAGACCAAACCAACTCGTGTTTTTGTGCAACCCCTGAGAATTTACTAATGATGAGTCCCAATTTATCAAGAAGTCAAATTGTAATTACAAAGTGGTTTTCATTAATTACGGTGTGGATTTTCGTAATGAAATTCGTTAATTATACAGTGGTTTTCGTTAATTACAGAGTGATTTTCATTAATTATTAAGTGGTTTTTGTTAATTGATAAGTTTTTAGTGAATTTTTGTAATGGAATTTGTTAACTACATAGTGATTTTCGTTAATTACAGAGTGATTTTCATTAATTACAGAGTGGATTACGTTAATATTAATGTGGATTATGCTTATTTTATAGTAATTTTTACTTTAATTTCATAGTGGTTTTCGATAAATTTAGTGGTTTTCGATGTGTATGTAGTGGATTTCAATTTTATTTTTAAATATGAACCATTTAAAAAAGTGAAATTAAAAAAAAACCATTTTTTTTGTTTTAAATTGATATAAAAAAATATTTAAGAAAAATAAAGCGAAATGGCGTGAGGGGATAATTGGGGGATTGTGTGGGGAGAAAATAGGGGGATTTGCATAACTACCAAAAAATAATCAAGGATTTTTTAAAATAATATAATATGGTAATTTTTAGTATTTAAAAAAAAATCCTTAACCGGAATGGCGTGGGGAGATAATTGGGGGATTGTGTGGGGAGAAAATAGGGGAATTTGCATAACTACCAAAATAAATAATTGATTTTTTAAAATAATATAATATGTTAATTTTTAGTAATATTAATTAGGGGCATTTTGGATAAATCCACATATTTGGATTTATAATAAATATCAA